GAAGTATTTCAAGAGAAATTCATTCCATTAGTATCGGCGCCATAAACAATGTATAGGAATCCATTAACAATGATCGGAATCCATTGTTTTGCACATCTGTGCGTATTGTCGAGTAAGTTCGAAGTGGGCGAGCGATACTTGGACTGAAACGCGACGCTGGAATAATTGACGGTGTTGACAAAGACGTCATACGATATACCACACACAGTTCTATGGAAGGGTCGTACCGTTTAGAATCGTGGTAATATTCAAATATACTTCCCAGAATAAAAAAAAAAAAAATAACAGGTACATCGCATTGACTGGAAAGAGTGCGTGGGATTTTGTTCCATTAATATTTCTTTTCTGTAATTTTTTTTAAAACTTTCTCTGTGTACATTTTTTAAAAATAAAATCCACCATCTTCCTAGAGTCTCTAATTAGTCAAACCTTAAATCACGTGTATACGCTTCCCCTATAAATTTAGCAATTATAAAGCACATCCATGGGTAACTTGAAACCATTGTAGTAGTGCCTTTCAAAGTGTCTTCAATATTCATTAAAAAAACACACAAGAATTTTTTCAACTTTTGAATATATGATATATATGACACGTGTGTACGGTAATCTCAAGATCAAATGTTACGCGGCTGGGCGAATTGGGAAAAATCAAACTTCACTGAAGTTTGTGCTATCACTATAGCAACAGTGACTGACAACACACAATATCCGTGGTTACATTTCTTTTTAGCGTTACCCCTCCCCCCAAATTAGATATGCACATGTCATAGAATAGTAAAATGCTATGGTAACGCCAACATCATTGAAATGTCACATACATGCTAAGAAAATTACATCATTTTTACTTTTTCATTAGTGTTACCCAATATGGGTAAAACATGCGATATGTGCAAGGGCTGTGAAGAGTTCATTCTAGGTCGTAATTTTCAGTTTTTGTCGCAAATAAATCATTTTGTAGCATTTATCATAAACGTTGGCGACCCACATGACATTTTAAAACAAGCAATAAATAAAACATGCGGCCAACATGATTCTTCATTTTTCAAATCAGTTTCCATTATGATAGTCCAAAAGGTCATCAGCTACAGCAAGTGCGTCATGACATGTACATTTTTTGCACGTATCATGCGCACAGTTATAAATATTGTTTAATAATAAATACTCAAAATCTTTGCGAGATAAATATTCTATTTTGAAGTGAGTACTTTGTACCAAAAACAAAAATAATATGCAGACAACATGGGAAAAATAATAGTAACAGACATACACATTTAAATAAATGATTACTCAGTGAATATAAATATACCTAGTCTAAAACCCGATCACGCTCAACATTAAAAATGGGTCACCCCTAAAACAAACTGGAGCAGCACGTGTTCTGGTACAAAAGTTCTCTGACCGATGTACTAACTGTATATTCTCGACTGTCACTCGGGATTGTCTTCACCCTGGTCTGTCAACGTCCTATTACAGTTTTTACTAATCTATAGTGTTGGCAAACAACAAACTTTTGTTTTTATGTTTGCATAGTCGTATACAATGTACATTGCGATCTTCTGTCGAGTAACATATTGAATCACAGCCCCCGGTCACAGCCCTTCGGATCGAAACAACAATTCTACGTGCTACTGGTACAAATATCAAATACATGTGCTAATATAAGAAATGTAGGATTTTAGCGCGTTCCTGTTTGAAACATTTGCGTCGGGTTTCGATTGGCGCGGAAATTGACGCCGATATAAGATGACGTAATGTCATTGGTCAGAGGTTGTTATGAAATACTTCCACGTGCGGTGACTGTCGTTCGACTGCGAAGGTGTGCGTCTCAACGGTCGAAGGAATTCGCCCCATCCATGTCTGGTTCAACTGCAAAGAAGCTGTCTCATTGCCGAAACAGTCCACGTGTAGACGAGGTAAAGTCACACAATTTTTGGATACATGCATATTCACATTGTTATTGTTTTTGACCTTTTATTTATGGAGTTGTCACTGTGTCTCGACTACGTCGTCCACAACTGGAGTAGCTATGATTCAGCTTTCCTTTTATACAATATTCGACTGTGAAGTAGGTCACATAGTCTAGCCGATCAGCCGTTTATTCTCATCTATAGTCCCCCGTCGTCTGCGAGCAGGAAACAAAACGCATTTATTTCGTTTTTGTATGACACACGCCTGCCGTTACTGGAACGATTGTTTTGTTTTTGATAACCTACATTTAATTGGTAAAGTTTGCTATATTAATTTCATATAATTTTTATTATTAAAATATTGTGCATATATTGATCATGAAAATTCAGAAGTCAGTTTAATATTGAATGTTTTGGCCCCACGTATATACTCCATCTTGTCTCCGCCGTATACGTGACGCGACACCCGAGTGCATCGCATCAGACATCAGCTCTGCAGTGTACTTCGTCCCGTCAGCATACCCAACAACAACTTGTTTGGACGACTGCCAAATGTTGATCAATACAACTCGTGTATTCATGTAAATTTGCGTGTTATTTGAAATGGAAAGTCTGCTGGTATTACCGTATACCATGTCTCTCTCTTTTCAGTAAGATGTTTTTTTTTTTATTTTTCCACCATTTCGAAAGTTGGTCGTAACCACGTCATTTATTGCAGAAGACTCGCTATTGAATAATTAGGAAAATTTAAGTAACGATTATAAAGTGGCCATGCATAGAGACTTTTCTTCGGCCCTTCCACGTTAGATTCATTGTGCTTTAACGATTTTATGCGTGTCTGTGCTGCACCACGGCGCATTATAACCCGCTATTGATCACGTCTGGCGGTGATACAGTTTTACACTTTGTGTTTTGTCTGCAAAGTTCCTTTTATCTATGTTTATGTTTTCTCGTGTTTTCTACTAACTGGTATTTCTAATCGTGAATCAAAACCGTTTACAAACATATTCCTGTAATATCAATTTAGTTAACAGAAATACTGTTTTAATGGACTGAACAAAGTTTGAGAATGGAGACTGCTCAGTCAACCGTTCCTGCCAGCAATGCAAACGATAACGCAGTATACACATCTTCTCCACTGGGAAGTTCATCACCGAGGTGTTTTCTGACAGAACCATCATCACCTATACCCACAGTCTCATCTCCTAGGTTACTATCACCACGGGGATCACTTTCACCACTACCACCAGTGAGAGCTTGCCTAAGTATTACAAGGTAAGAGAATTGTTATTTTGCAAGTTGCATTTATTAGTAGTGCTTGACATGCATACATATATAAATAACCTGTGTAAACTTCAAAAAAGTATTTGCAGCTGAAATTCAATGAAAAAAAAAACTTGACATGCCACTTATAAAACATGTTTTGAAAGAGAAAAAAAATATCTCTTTGTTCAAACTGTATTCGAAGCTGGTATAAATTTACAGTGAATATGTAAATACTGACCTGTATGCCATTTCTCATAGAGTTGCATTCTAAGGTAAATTATAAAGTCTTGAGACTATAATAAAAGGTATTTCATGGTTTGACTTTGTGGCCTCGCATGTGATTTTGTTTTTGAACGTCATCTGCGTATGCTTTTGAAATAGTATTTCAACACACATGGATTTACAGAGATTTGGCTCTGTTTAAAATTACTGCGGGCTGCAGTGCAAATCTGAACGAATTTGTTCATATTTTCCGTCTAGCAAACATGTCACATAATAGTCCCAAGACTATAGTAAAGCAATAGGAATGAAGTTACTAGACGATGCTTAACTAGTTAAATACTGTAGAATACTTTATTTTCGCTTAGAATTTATTTTTGCTATTTTCGCTGAAAGGATGATTCCGTGAAAATAAAATCCAGGAATATACTTTTTTCCCTATATTTCACATTCAACTTGTTAAAAATCAGTGAAAATAAATTCCATACAAAACACCCTAATGCCTTTTCAGTGAAAATTAATTCCAGCTAAAATAAAGTATTTCACAGTATAATGCAAGGGGACCTACACACCACAGAAAGCAGTGAATATTAAAAATTCATAAATAATATGCATAATTTTGTTTTTATAATATACCAGTGTAGGAAAGACACACTAATACAATATACATATTGTCTAATTCTATTTTTTAGTTCCCTGTTCCCCCTTGCATTAATTTTACTGTTATTGCTCATTCTGTTGGGTGCTACATACTATCAAAAATGGATAAAAATTATCATCCAATTGATGCAAAAACAGTGATACCTGAGCTTGTTTCTATGGATACAAGAATTGTGATTTACACTCATGTAGCATAATGTCATCTGTAGTCTGGTGGCCATTTTGAATTGACAATTGATCAAATGTCATACACTGTTCATTGTTCAAAAATTAGTTTGAGTGTTTAAATTGGTTTCAGTGTTTCAAGGAATAACATCCAGAATTCTGTCTGCTGTTTTTTTTCTTGTCTGAAACGTTTTCCATGTTATTTTGAATTCAAATACTGTAAAAACATTCCTTTTTTTTTTTTTACTGGCAATTATTTTTACTTTCACTAGTTTTTTTAACTTCACAAATTTGTGAGGGAAACAATATTATTTTGCATATTCATGTGGATATACCGCACATTGCCTGCTGATGTCGTTTGACATATTTTACTTATCAGCAAAATTAAAACCCAGTGAATAACAATGGACGCTAATAATACAACTGGATTTTGATGAAAGATCTTAACTGTTTTCTCAGTTTAAAATGAGTATGTGATAATTACAGTGTTACCATGATCAAGCGACCTTTGACCTTTGAAATGGTTTTGTATTAAGACCAGATGCTTGGCCCCTAAAGTGCCAATCATAAAACAAAGACAGCAATATTTACATAAAGCTATAGCAATAATTCAGTACCTATAAGCTAGTGTATGAATAATATGCAGACATTAGTTTCAAGCCAGCCATGTCACTAAACTTAATTAACCAGTGTTTGTCTGGCTACCTTTCTCAGATCCACTGTCAGCTGACACACGGTTTTTAACCCTTTGAGCACCAAAATCAACTTCTGTCAACAAATTGAAAACCATGTATTTCTTGTTTTTCATTTTTGTTTTCAGCCAGTAGGAAATGATGTTCCTTTAGTCCAAAATTATTAAAAAAATATCACCAAAAAATAGGCAAAATGTTATACCGAAATATTGACGGGAACAAAATTCAGCATTCAATTCAGTAGTCTGTTGTCTTGCTTTAAATTTTCTGACAAAAAAAATATTTAGTTTGCTTTTATATTTGTTGTCCCTTGATTTATTTATTCTGAGACATTTTTATATTGTTTTTTATATTGTTGACAAATATTCAGAAAGCCAGTATTGGCAGTACCTTTTTTAGGTCTGCATCCCTGAGAGGCATGGCCCTAAAAATATTTCTCCTACCTGCCTAAACTTAAGAACACTGTTGCAATGTACCAAAATTAATGCGAAATTAGTGTCAAAATGTCAGTATGGTTTCTCACTGTTGTTGTTCATTTTCCTGATTTTGACTAAAAAAGTTTGTCATTTTTGATTCAGACTGGTATAAATATGGCTGCACTCTGAGATCATTTCTACTTCTTCCTTAAGTGAAATATTGGATAGTTTGAATTTACGTGAATACCATTCAATTTTTCATTGATTTTCAGCAGATATCTGAATGTTTCCGACAATTTTAATGTTTTACCATGTTTTGCTTGGCTATTAGAATTTCATTTGCTAATGCTTTTGGATGGAGTAAATAAAGGGGAATTAAATTACACAACCTACAGAGCATTAACCAATTTTTATCATTCGTGTAGGTGAAACTGTCAGCTAATTATATCCATTATCACATCCATTATTTTTCAGATTTTTTCTGGAAATTGGCCAACTGGCAGCCATTTTCTTCATCAAACATCTCATTTTTTGTTAATTTTTGCTTGTAATTCAATTACTAAGCTCATTCAGATTTGGCACAGAGGCAGTATACTATTTCACAAAGCAAGTTGATTTTTATCAAGATTCTATGCAATATGGCTGACCAGTTTCCATGGTTGTTGATCAATATTGCTGAATTTTGGCTTGGGGAAATGTTATAATATATATATAAGTAAACAACTATGAGTAATATAGCGTATTTGAAAAAAAAAAGCGTAATCCTTTGGATTGAAATGTAAAATGTCGCCTGTGGTAGAGACCGATTCTGGACTCTCTAGCACGCCACCAGGAGCGGAAATCAGTAAAGGCTTAAAGAAATTGCGACAACAAGACCTTTGTTTGTTGTGTTTTTGACTCCCATGTGCGAAGCACAAAATGGGAGTCTTTGCAGTTAGTGTGTCTGTATGTGTGTGTGTATGTGTGTATGTGTGTATGTGTGTATGTGTGTATGTGTGTATGTGTGTGTGTGTGTATGTGTGTCCGACTGTTCCACTGCTATCTCAAGAACCATACATCGGTTTTTGATGAAACTTGGTGCATAGATGCTCTGGGCCAATGCGCAGAT